CTGGAAAGCGATGCTTGGGGTGGGGCCCGCCGCCTCTGGGCCCCAGGTCCGCGGGTGGGCAGAGGAGTGACTGGCCCGGCAGGAGCAGTTTTTTTTTTCTAAATTTTATTATTCCTGCCTCAAATTTAAAGTATTTTTTAAATATATATTTTATTGATTTTTTACAGAGATGAAGGGAGAGGGATAGAGAGTTAGAAACATCGATGAGAGAGAAACATCGATCAGCCGCCTCCTGCACACTCCCCATTGGGGATGTGCCCACAACCAAGGTACATGCCCTTGACCAGAATCGAACCTGGGACCCTTGAGTCCGTAGGCCGCGGCTCTATCCACTGAGCCAAACTGGTTAGGGACAGGAGCAGTTTTGTTTGTATCCATGACAATATTCCTGAGGGTGGTTTGGAGAAGGGGTGGGGAGTAGGGGTGGGGGAGGCTGTTTAGAAACAGTGAGGTGCTTTCAGCGGAACCCTAGAGGGGAGGAACCCTAAAGGGAAGGAACCCTAAAGGGAAGGGTGCTGAGAGCACGTGGAGGGGGCGTGAGAGGCCTGGCCAGGGCGCAGCTCGGGACCCGGGTCCCACGACCCCGGCCGCCGGGTCTCCTCTGAGCTTCAGCTGGGCCCGCGACAGGAAGGGCTCTGACTCCTGGAAACGGCCTCGCTCCTCCGTCTCCCTCTGTCCCCTCGAGCTGAGCGTTTTCCTCTTCCCCCGCCAGCCTGTCCCTTCCACAGGGGGTGTGAGCTCACACGTCTCCACATGTCTGACCCCCGCTCCCTCCTCAGGCGTCGCACAGCCCGTGGGAGCAGACGGGTGACCTGGCAGAAGACCGAGAGCAGCAATAGGGCCGCAGGGGTCCCTGCGCTCTGGACAGACTCCTCTTAGGAGTGTTTATTCAAACCAAATACCTTCTCTCCCTTGACCTTTCCAGGCAAACCTGTGTTTCCTCCCCCAGCTTCACTTGGGCTGTTACGTGTGTAGCTTATGTTGTCTGTGTAGGATTGCCATCGGTGGGACTGACGGCTTTGAGCCACGCAGGCCATGTGCCAGGTAGCCTTTTGAAAGCGCGCGACGTCTTGATCATGGTCTAAGGAATGTTAGTCGCTTAGCTGGTCTTTAGAAAAGGAAAGGCCCCATTTTTTTGAAAATATATTTTTATGGATTTCAGCGAGGAAGGGAGACGGCAAGAGGTAGAAGCATCAGTGATGAGAGAGAATCATTGATCGGCTGCCTCCTGCACACCCACTACTGGGGATCGAGTCCCAGTCTAGGCATGTGCCCTGATGGAGAATCAAACCGTGACCTCCTGGTTCATAGGTCGATGCTCAACCACTGAGCCACACCAGCTGGGCACCCATTTTTTTACTATTTAACTCTGAATTTACATCTTTGAAATTGCCAGGTCACCTGGCTTTTCCGACTTCTCTGGAATAGGAAAAAAAGATTTGAAGTGTCTCACCTGATGTGCCCACCAAACTTGTTTTTTTCTGATTGTGTGTAACCTGCTGTAGCTAAAGTGCTCCAGATGCGTGGTCTGGAGCATTCTGGTTCTGTGGTTACTAGCGTCCTCAGTGTTGCTGTCAGTCCTCCCACTGGAACAGTCCGGGCGAGCGCTGAGGGAGCTGGGAGTGGGCACGCCGGGCAGAGCGTGTGGTCGCATGAGTCCCTGATGTCTTATCACACGGGTGGCCAGGCGGGCTTTCGCGTTCTCTCGATAGGATTGAGCCAGGCAGTGATACTGTTACAAGGAACATGTTAAGATAGTTCCCTGTTCTCAAATCAGGAAAATACGTCCTCATGGAAATATGTACTGATACTGTGCACTGATGTGAGATGTTCTGATCAGATGCCTTTTAAACGTTGACTTGATTTTAAGGGAGGCCACGAACCCAGGATGCTCCTCTCCCATCACTTGCAAATGTCCCCACCCCGTGGGAAAACCAGATGGCGGCTCCAGAGGGCTCTGCTTATAACGAAAGGAGGGGCCTTGCTGGTTTTTAAAAACTTAGCTGTGGATTGAGAATAAGTAGTAGAATTACGAGATGAAAGAAATCCGAGCATTTTTTAATAACATCTGTTAGGCAGTCACTTAGAATTCTGAGAGTGTTTTCTTGGTCAGCTGCCTGGTGCCTGTGCTCCTCCACCCCACCCGCCATGACTCTGTGTCGTGCGCATCTGGGAGCCATGGCTCAGGCGAGACTTCAGCGCCTCTGCCCCTGGGAGCCCCTGCCAACCCCACGAGGCGCCTCTGAGGCTGAGAAAGGCTCCGACCTGTCTCCCTCCCAGGGAGGAGCCCGAGTTGCCGTCCGCCGTCCGCGTGGGCTTCGTCACCTACAACAAAGTGCTCCACTTCTTCAATGTCAAGAGCAACCTGGCGCAGCCGCAGATGATGGTGGTGACCGACGTGGGCGAGGTCTTCGTGCCCCTGCTGGACGGCTTTCTCGTCAACTATCAGGAGTCCCAGTCTGTGATTCACAAGTACGTGCGCTGCTCCCCACGCAGCTGCCCGGCAGGTCTGCTTTGCTTAGAGTCAGTTTGCTTTTGCCACGAGCCACGGTGTGGGCGGGGTTACAAACCTCCGCCATCACCATCGCTGTCAGCTCACCCAGCCCAGCCCCTGCCCTTTGCAGGGAGGTCACAGGGCAGGCGCTGCCTCTGTGGGTGCGTGTGTCCCGTGATCACCACAGTGACGAGAGAATTACTCAGGAATGTGCAGCCCGAACGATGGGAAAAGTAGAGGATAGGAAACATCTACAAAGAGCAGGATTCCATATATGTTCCTAACGAATCATCCATTTTGGTGCCAAACCGCACCAGCCGTGATTCCCTAGGAACGACCACGAGACCCACCCTGGTGTTGGGGCGAAGCACGCCGGGTGTGGAGGTCGGAATGTGAGGGTGGGTTTGGTGCCGGCTGTTACCAACCGCCTGTGCCCCTGCTCCGCAGCTTACTGGACCAGATCCCGGAGATGTTCGCCGACTCCAACGAGAATGAGACTGTCTTCGCGCCTGTCATCCAGGCCGGCATGGAGGCCCTGAAGGTGAGGGGCTCTTCCAGGTGCTAGTAAATGCGGTTCACACCAGACACCCACAAAGGAAGGCCCGCCCGGAAAGGAAAACCGCCTGTGTCAGCCCACGGCGGCTGCTGGCGGCTGATCCAGACTCACCCACAGGCCCAGCATGTTCACACCCCCCTGCGTCCCAGCCTCTGGTCTGTCAGGGCTTCCAGCTTAGCTCCTCCTGTTGGTGTTTATGAAAGTTATACCCTCCTTTCAAAATATTTCAACAGGATCTGACCTTCCAGACCCGAAGGAAAAACTCCCTCCCCCCCTCTCCTGGGGCCTGTGACTGTCGGTGACAGATGGGGGGTCCCGGGGCCTTGCCCAGCGCCCGGCAGGTGCAGGTGCGGGTGCAGGCAGTGCCCTGCTTTGTGAGGCAGTGTAAGGGCACGGCCCCGCCTCCGTGCTCCGAGCTCCCCCCTGTGCTAGCAGACATGGCTCAGCACGGGCATGGCGTCGTCCCCTGGATCCCACAAAGGGGGCAGGAGTCCCCCCCTGAGCCCGTGCAGACCTGCTGGAGGTGCCTCCCTTCCCGTGGGAGGAACACTGGGCCCTACCGGACGCCAGGCGAACCCAGAGGCGATCGGCAGACAGTGGGCAGGAGCGCAGAGCGCAGGCTTGTTGCCGCCACGTGGAGGCCTGGTGGGCCGGTCTCAGCTTCCCAGAGCCCCGCGCTGTCCCGTGAGGCTCCACGCGGTTCCTGCTGCGTGTGTTTCACCCGCAGCGTCCGACACGACACTCATAGCTCAGCTCTCACATCTCACTTGGCAGAGAACTGGCTCCGAGTGGGCGCGGACTCCCCTTGAGCCCACACAGAGGGTTGGCAGGAGGCTGGGCATGGCCTCAGCGGCCACTCTCTGGTCGGTCACTGGTGGGGGTGATCCTGATGGGCGTCTGCATCTGATTTCAAGATGCGGCATCACATTCCCTCCACGAGGGCCCACGGAGCCCCAGGCGAAAGGCCCGGGCCCCTGGGGCTGGAGGAGCCATGCAGAAGGTCAGGGGTCCTTCCTCACGGAGTCTGGGTCTGCAGGAGGCAGCAGGAGGCGTGCGCTGGGCTGTGTCTCCGGTCGCCCGAGCACAGTCCTACCCACAGAGGAGAGTGCGACACAGGCTGTGGGGCCCGGGCACACGCCGTGGCTCAGCTCTGTCCTCAGAACACAGGGCCTTCTCCATGGGCAGAGGGTCAGATCGGGAACCACAGTGTGTGCAGCGGGTGCAGGGGCAGCTCACCTCCCCGCTCCTCCTGCCTGTCCCCATGCCAATCCTCGCCCTCGCCCCCCAAAGGACCTGGCTCCTGTGCTGGGTGTCTCCAGGGCTCTCAGGAGAAAAGCCCAGCTATGGCCAGGGCCTGGCTGTTACTCAGACACACGCTCTGGGGCTCGTGCCAGGCGGGGCGAAGCATGCGGGAGGCGCAAGGGGCCCTCGCATGGCGGTCCATCTCGCTTGGTCAGTGGCTTCCTGGCGCCGTGAAGCAGATAAATCTAGACGCTCTCACAGCCGGATTCGCTTCCATGGGGCCGGGTCACCCTTCCGTTGCTCCCGATGCTCGAGACAGAGTCTGGGCACACGCTTCTCCAGCGTCATCTTCCTGGGGCGGGTCCTGTGTGTGCTGTTGCCACACACCTCAGTGTTCTTTTTCTTTTTCTCTTAATATATATTTTTTTGATTTCAGAGAGGAAGGGAGAGGGAGAGGGAGATAGAAACACCAATGATGAGAGGATCATGGACCGGCTGCCTCCTGCACGCCCACACTGGGGATGGAGCCCGCAGCCCGGGCCTGAGCCCTGACCTCCTGGTTCACGGGTGATGTCAGCCCTGCGCCGCGCCCCGGGCTGCACGGCGGCGTCCTGTGCTTCCGTCCTGACGGCCGCTTCAGGGCTAGTCCTGTTGACCCAGTTTCTCAGGAGGGTCTGCTGCATCGTGGCCGGGAGTCCTGTCACTTCCTTTGGTGCCGTGAGTCCCTGGTCCTGAGACACTGCTGTTTGCTCAACACCAGAACACGCAGCCAGTTGTTAAAGCCTCGCGGGGTGCAGGCTGCATTGCCACGTGGCTCTGTCGTTTCTCAAAGCCTCGGGTCCCATGTCTACCGGGGGCTGGACCTGCCCAGGGACACAGGCTGCTGTGAGGTTCGCTGACGGTTGCAGTGCGGGCTCGTGGGCGGCAGTCCGTTTCATGGACTTGCTGGTCCCTAGAGTGAGGCCTCCCGTGCCTGTTGCAGGCCGCCGACTGCCCCGGGAAGCTGCTCATCTTCCACTCCTCCCTGCCCACGGCCGAGGCCCCCGGGAAGCTGCGCAACAGGGACGACAAGAAGCTGATCAACACGGACAAGGAGAAGGTGGGTGCCAGCTGCCCCGCAGCGCCCCACCCGCTCTCGGGGTGCAGGAGGCTGAGGGTCACAGTCACGGAGGAAGCGTCCTGTCCTGGAGACACTGCTGTGAGCTGCAGTCACACTGAGTGGGTCTGACTGTCTTCATTGGAGCCCCGTAGGAGACAGGTGACGGGACGGTAGTAGGATGGAGGAGCTGGGGAGACGGGGGCAAAGGCAGAGGGACAGGGGCTGCTCCTGTGCGGACACAGTCTGCTCTGCTCACGCCCGCGATGCGCAGCCTGGGGAGGGGGCGTCTGTGGGCAGGACGACACCTGAGCCAGGACCTGTGGCCTCGTCCAGGACGAGGGAGGGCGGGGAGCAGCCTTCCAGGTCGTGTCGGAAGGTCAGAGGTCACAGCGTGTCAGACACACACCTCTC